TTTTTTCTTCCTCCAGAAGCTTGCCTAGCTTCAAAATATCACCTGTGAGCAATCAAGCATGAGCTTCCCCATCTTTGTGCTGATTTCGGATCTTCTTAACTAGGGATGCTGCTTTACTGTGCCTATCTGTCAGGGAAGGGTTGGAGAGGAAGGACAAGATGCACACTGCCCAATTTTAGATAGGCAGCAATTTGTGGATTCTTTGTGCTGTCTTTAGAAAAAACCAGCCTCTTCTGACTTGATGTGAGCTCTGAACACCCCCATCTATTTTTTTAAAATCTATTTTTCAGGAGATTAAAATGAGATGCAGTAAGGTGAAGACATTTGCATATAGCCCTCAGCTCATAGAATTTTGGAGCCAAAAGTAACCTGAGAGATCAGCCCCTACTTCATTTGGACAAAAAAGAAACCATAGCTCAGAGAGGCAATATCACTTGTCCGAGGTCACACGGCAATTAAATGGTGGGGCTAAGAGTCAAACCCAGGTCTCTGTGATTTCCGAGCCCGTGTTGTTCTTGATGCACTTCTGTGCCTCTCTTTCCTGGCCTTGGGCTTCCCTGGACTTCTCTGGTGTGCACAGGGGAGCAGAGTCTAACATGACACCACTGGTTGACTTCAAACAGCATCAACTGGCCCTTTCCACCAGGCTCTCAAGGCTGGGTCTGGGACTCTGGTCCTTCCCTGTTACCATCACTGTCCCACACTCACTGAGCTTCTAAACTCTGAGATGAAAGAATAAGGCTGCTACGCCCATTGCAAAGTAAACTCTTCTTCCTCCCCATCCTTCCCTGTCCAGCTTGGAACTTCATCAGCTTGTCATCTGGGACCAACGTGTCTTCTAGCCCGCTAACAAAAGGCAGAGGAGGGTGAGGAATCTAGGGACCTGGATCTCAGCCACTGTCCACCTGCCACTTGCCACGTGGCCCTTGGCCACTGTCTTCTCTGTAAGCTTCCATTTTCTCACCTGAAAGGTGAAAACTTTTACCTTCTCACCTGAAAAGGTAAAGTTAGTTACATTGTCAAGGGGTCTCCTAGCTCCAAAATTCTATGCAGCCATGAGTTATTGGCACCGTGTGTGTCCTTTACTTTCTATGAACTTTGGTTTCTTCATCTGTAAAATGAGCATGATGTAAAAAAGTAGAATAGAATGTAATGAAATGGAGATATTGACACCTGCCTCAGGACAGCTCGGAGGAGCCAGCAGGATGAAGTCTGAAAACCCTGAAGCTTACCATACATCTGCCAAGATTGTCATTCGCCATGACCCAGAGGGGATACAAAGCTCAGCAGCTCAGCGTCCCAGCCTGCAAAGTCCCAAAAGACCCAAACCAATGAGGATGTGGTCAGTGGTGGTAGAAAGGCACACGATATGTGGGCGAGGCCACGTGGCAGGGTGCAAAAAGCACAGGCCTTGGAGTCCAGCTGACAAGGGTTGGATTCTGGATCTGCTTTGTGTGGCTAGAGCCAGCTGACCTCCCTGAGCCTGTTTTCCTGTCTGTAAAATGGGGGCACCTGCCTCTAGGGGTAACTGTGGGGAGTTAACGAAATGGTTAGCTGGCCTCTGACCATGTCCCTGCCACTCTGGCCTCCTTGCTGTTCTCAAAGCGGGCCCAGTGTACACCTGCTTCGCAGCCTTGGCACCTGCTCTTCCCTCCACCTGGAACACTTTCTCCCGGGTCATCCCGTGGCTCATTGCTCGCTTCATTCTGGTTACTACACAAACACCATCACCTTAAACAGGCCTTTCCTGACTCCCAGCCAAGAGAGCCACACCTGCCCTGTGCCTCTTCTGTGGCACTTTTCCTGTCCTGACATTACACGTGTACCTATTTGTTGTTCACCTCCCCCACCAGAACATGAGCTCCAGAAGGACAGAGGTTTCACTGTGCTGTTGGCATCACTGTGCTGGATAGGGGTCTCCACAGGTGTCCGAGGACTCTGGAGCAATGATGCTATAAATCAGGAACACGCTTGGAAGCAGGTATCCATTTAGCAGCCAGAAGCAGCCTGACTTCCTTCATTCTGGGAAGACGAGCTTCATGCACATGCCAAGGGTGATACAGAAAATATACATAATTTAGTTAAAACTCCAAGCCAGCCAGGCAAGCGTCCAAGGCCAGTGGCATGTGCTCACCTTTGATGCGTAACTGTCCAGTGAGTGAGGGGACACATGTGGACTGCTGTGAAGCATCCAGCTCTGTGTCTTGTCCTTAAGAGGGTCAGTTCTTCCTTTCTGTTTCTATGAATGCCAACGCAGCATCTCAGGAAATGCTTTAGGGAAATAAGAAATAACAACAATGTTCCCATATTTCAGAGATCGTTTCTCTCTTTCTTTTTTTTTTTTCTTTTTCAGAGTCTCACTCTGTCATCCAGGCCAGAGTGCAATGGCGCGATCTCGGTTCACTAATTTTTGTATTTTTAGTAGAGACAGGGATTCACCATATTGGCCAGGCTGGTCTCGAACTCCTGATCTCAGGTGATTCACCCAGCTTGGCCTCCCAAAGTGCTGGGATGGGACCCTGGACTGAATAAAATATGATCTCCTCTCTTGAGGAATTCATCAGTGGGAGAGATGGACACAAAATCACAGGCATCCAGGAGCATATGGTTAGGAGTCTGGACGGGGTGATGCTGTACAGAAACCACAGAACAATTGACTCTACTGGAGGGAAGGGGGATGTGTTTGTGGATTGCCTGGATTCTCTCCCACTCCGTGAACCTATCCAAAAGGATTCCTGGCTGAGGATCTCTTTTCCTAAAACCTCATGTCAGCCACTGGACTCCTTGTCTAGATGATGAAAGCCCTGCCTACCCTTCCCTGGGTCCCTGTCTGCCTACTAGGCCTTCCTTTCCATGTAGCCCCTGGCCTTGGAAGTCTCACCCTGCTCCAGACCCCCGTGCCTACCTCAGTCAATAGCCCCCACATTTTCCATGGGTTGTGCCCTTCTGATGGCTGGCCCCAGCCCTTCCTTCTCAGCCACTCTATTCTGTGCCAGCTTTCGTGTGTCCCCAAACCCTCCCCAAGCCACAGCCGAGTGCTGACATGACCTCCCTCTCTTCATCCCTGACTCCCAACCCCTATCGTTATTCTCTCTCATTCCTGCATGTGTCCATTCTCTCCCCATTTTTTTCTTTGAGGACATTCCTTGATTTGGGCTCCAGGTTGGCCTTGCCCATTCATAACTGATTGAGGTTTGACCCATAAATCTCCCACTTACTCATTCTTTAGGCATCCCCTGAGTGCCTGCTGTATGCCTGGCCCTGTGCAGGACCTTTGAGGTCCAGAGAGACAGCCCAGAACTTGGCCTCAGGATGCTCCAGCCCCCTGGAAGAAACAGTTAAAGGCTCATCACCACATGCTATGGCAGGGGCTGCAGTAGACAGATGTGGAAGATACAACAGAGCAAGAGAAAGAGTTGCTTTGGATGGGGTTGGGGAGCTGAATCTTCATTGACAAGTGGGAAGATGGTCAGGTGAACAACATAGAAAGACATTCTGGGCAAAAGGAGATGCATGTGCATTTGTGCAGAGTGGGAATCGGAGATGCCCAATCCAGGCAGCCCTGTATGGTGCCACGAGGCAGAGGCTGCTCCAAACAAGGCTGGGGAAGAGTTGGATAAGGAGCCTGGGGTCCTTGGAAACATGGGAGGGAGTTATGCAGTTTGCATTTTGGAAAGCTCATTCAGCAGACTGAAGAAGGTAAGACAGAGAGGGGGATCTGGCAAAGGCTTACACAGTCCCATAAGTTCATTCTCTGCCAGTTGTGAGCACTAAACATTTAGGATCACCCAGGCTCTGCACTGCCCCCAACCTCCCACTGCCAACAGCCATTTCTCCTGCCAAAGGCAAAAAGGGGGGAAGCTTCCCTTCTAGTTGGCCATTGCAGCCCCCAGGGGCAAACACTTTGGCATACAAGAAAGCCCTGCTTTTTCTTTTCTTTTTTTTTTTTTTTTTTTTTTTTTGAGAGGAACTCTTGCTCTTTTCCCCCAAGCTGGAGTGCAATGGCACAATCTCGGCTCACTGCAACCTCCACCTCCCTGGTGCAAGCAATTCTCCTGCCTCAACCTCCCAAGTAGCTGGGATTACAGGCGCCTGCCACCACGTCTGGCTAATTTTTGTATTTTTAGTAGAGACAGGGTTTCACCATGTTGGCCAGGCTGGTCGCAAACTCCTAACCTCAGGTGAGCCACCCACCTCGACCTCCCAAAGTGCTGCGATGACAGGCGTGAGCCACCGTGCCCGGCCAGCCCTGCATTTTTATGTTCACTGTTGCATCATCATGTTTTCCTCCTCCTGATATCCTCGCCTTCAGCTCATGACCCAGAAGAAAAGTTAGTCAATAACATAACGAAGTTTGACTCCTAATCCCATTCTACAGATTTGGCAACTGAGGCAAGGAGTTAGCCTGGCAAAGTTACCTGAATTAGTTTCCCATTGCTGCTGCAACAGATTACCACAAATTTAGTGGCTGAAAACAACAGATTCATTATCTTAAAATTGTGGAGGCCAGAGTCCAAACTGGATTTCACTAGGCTCAGTAAAATCAAAGTTATTGGCAGGGCTGTGTGCCTCTTGGCGGCTCTAGGGGAAAAATCATTCCCCTGCCTTTTCCTGCTTCTGGAAACTACCTGCATCCCCGGGCTCATGGCTCCTTCCTCTGTTCAAAGCCAGCAGCATAGCATTTTTCCATTTTCTCTCTGACCTTGATCCTCCTGCCTCCTTTTCATAGGAATCTCTGCAATTACATTGGGTCCTACCTGTATAATCTAGGATTGTCTCTCTATCTCAAGAGTTTTAACTGAATCACACCTGCAATGTCCCTTTTGCCATGTAAGGTAACCTAGTCACAGTTCGTGGAGGTAGGGACATGCACACCTTTGGGGGCCATTATTCTGCTTATCACAGGACGTTTTCAGCATCCCTTTGAGCTTTTCAATCCCAGGACTCCCTGAGCATCTGTTGTTACTGACCCGTGGCTCTGTCCGTCTTTGTTCTTTCAGAGGAAACGACATTTGAAGCGGGAGTGAAGGTTCAGATCCACAGTCAGTCTGAGCCACCTTTCATCCAAGAGCTGGGCTTTGGGGTGGCTCCAGGGTTCCAGACCTTTGTGGCCACACAGGAGCAGAGGGTAAGTTCCCTGGGCTCCCAGAATTGATGGTCCTCAGCCTCCCCCAACCCCCTGTGGAGGCACAAGGGAGAGAGATGGAATTTCCACTCAGCCAAGGGCTTTACCGTGAAACTAGAGGAAGCTGTTCACTCACCTTCTTCACCAGTTCTCCTGTACCACCTGTTGGTTTCTAAAATTGGGCATGAAGGAAACCCAGCTCATTTTTCTTTTCACCAAACTGGTTGGGTTTTTTCTTTTCCAAATCATTCTGTCATAGCTGACTTTTTGTACAAGTTAATTTTTAAAAAAAAAAAATTATTTTTTGGCCAGAGGATGCTAAGGGAAACTGTTAAACAGGGTTTGATGTGTTTCATAACTGTGTTAATACAATTCAAAGCAGCCTAAAAGAAGAAAAGGGGTGGAGGCATCCCTCTCCATCACAGGGTTTAAGTGGAGCGAGCCCTTGTTACGTGTGTCCGTCTGCTCTCTTTGATATAGCACTGGGGAGGGGACCTCACCCGCCCAGCTGGGACTGCTGCATCAATTCTGTCTGTGGGTGGAGGGAGGACAGGCACAGCCTCACATCTGAAGCGAGTCTTACATCTCAAAAGGGAGACCTTCGCAAACTCTCAGTAGGGAGGCAGTCTCAAAGCAGGACTGTGGAGAGACACGGACTGTTTCTTTCTCTTATCTCCTGGATACTTGTTGCCTGGTTTTCCTAGAATAAAAGCTGGAGAGACTGTGACTGGGAGGGTATCCTAAACCAGATCATCTAAGACAAGTTTCTGGGGAAGACCTTAGGTAGATTAAGTCTGTGAGTAGCGGAGGCACCCACTCTGGGGTGTGGGAAAGGGAGACCCAGGGAGAACCGTGATGGAGGAGCAAGGAAAGATGCATGTGTGTAACTGATGAGCTCAGGTTGCTTTTAAAATTTGGCTCAAATATCGTCTTTCATCTGGTACCGATCACAGCTGTTTAGCCATTTTATAAAATAATATTCTGCATTAAAAACTGGTTGTAGGGCCAGGCACGGCAGTTCATGCCTTTAATCCCAGCACTTTGATAGGCCAAGGCAGGAGGATTCCTTGAGCCCAGAAGTTCAAGACCAGCCTGGGCAACATCATGAGACCTTATTTCTACCAAAAAAAAAAAAAAAATCAGCTGGGCATGGTGGCGCATGCTTTGATCCCAGCTACTTTGGTGGTAGGGGTGGGAGGATCACTTGAGCCTGGGAGGTAAAGAGGGCTAGAGTGGGCTGAGATTGCACCACTGCCCTCCAGCCTAGGAGACAGAGACAGACTCTGTCTCAAAACAAAAAAATTAATCTATACATGAACCATATTATTTTTCATTCTCTGGGAAAGTGTTGATGGTGTAGCCCTCACAAACTGTGTCCTGTACACGATGCCTGTGCAGTTAGTGAAGGCCAAGGTCAAACTTCACTGTGGCACATAGGGATGGGACTGCAGCTTTGATGCACGGGCAGGAGGTGCCAGAAGCTTAGCCTGGCCTCTATGGGCTTCCAGAGACAGAGACAGGTGGTGCAAGAAGAAAAGGGGGTATCCAAGGGTATGCAAGGCAGAAACCAAATGGTCAGGAAAATATATATTTAAGGACCAAGAAGGAGGGCAAGAGGATGGCAGGACAAAGTTCAAGGCTAAGGATGTGAGAGTCAAGAAGAGTGAGAACAAGGATTACCCAGTAGAGGCATGCAGACAGACAGGCAGCCTAGGTGAGCTCTTGAGAACTGCCAAAAGTAAACAAAGCTGGACATGGGTTGAGATGGTGAGGGCAGATTTTAATCAATGATATCCTTTTGCAAAAGGGAAGAGGGTACAGTATGAGCTCAACTCCAATTCATAGAGAGGGCCTGGGTGTTTTAAAGGGAAAATGGGGGAATGGGCAGAGGGAACAGCAAGGGCTTGAACAGCAGAGTCAGAGAAGTAAAAAATGAAAAACAGAAAGGGGCTTGGGGGATGGTCCCTGTGAAATGCATCTGGGTTTGCGAACTGGTGCTTATTGAAGTTAGACTCCTACCCTCCCACAGAGACTAGGATACAGGGGCCCCCATCTTCAGGTGTTGGCTGGAGCAAGCAGTAAATTCTGTTGGCAGCCTTGGGTTTTCTCAGACAGGCACTTTAAGAGTGGATAGAGGAGTTCTAGGGATGTGGCCTTGAGCTGTTAGAAACTATGTCAGTATTTGTTCAAGTCTTCACAGGCCAACAAAGGATGAGGCTTAGAAGAGAAGAGGGCTCAGAAGAGCCTGCTAGAGTTTGGTCAAGGAGAGAAAATCTGTCAGCACTCCCGTCTGTTGTATGAGTAAACCCACATCGGTTCAAAGAACCAGGTACAGGTTAGACTAATCAATATGTATATCAATTCTGTGACTATCTAAAAGTAAATTTTTAATTAGTTGTCCAAGGCAAATCTGACTTGGTGTTTTGTTGAATGTACCTACCTTTGATATCCTGTATTACTTACTTGTGTTGACATCTGTCTGCTATCTACATTGTTATTAGCATGCAGAATAAGTGAACAGCATTCCTTGAAACCCAATGTGAAATTCTCCCCACTGCTAGTGAAGGGTGGAGAGGAGGAAGCTCTCTATAGGCTGCTATTTTCCATCAGCCTGAGAGATGTGCTTTTTCCTCCCCCCGCCCTAGCTGATCTTCCGTTAGTGAGATGGAAGAAATTTCTGAGCTGGATGGGAAGTTGGAACTATGACTTCTAGGAAGCCTTAAGTCTCTCTTTTCCTTCCCAATATGAAACAGAAGGACTCCCCATGGTGAGCAGGATGAGGAAACAGAACATATTCCCAGCTTCTGAGGGCAAATTCGCTGTTAGCTTTGAAGTGTATTCTCAGAAAATCAGCCCCATTCATGTCTATATTTTCATGATTATTATAACTAATAAGATATTTGTTAAACATTTTACAGTCTTCAAAGCATTTCCGCATCATCTCATTTCATCATTGCATTTATATTAGTAGAGAAATACAAAAACACATCCCAGAGCTAAATCTAATAATACATTATATTTACATGTATATAAAAGAGCATATTCATAGGAAATAAGAGTTGAAGGAAATCAGCCAAAATACCCACAGTGGGGGAATTATGAATGATTTATTTTCTTTTCTGGGCTTTCCATCTCTTTCATATTATGGCTTTGTTCTATTTATTCTTACAGCAAATATTTGCTGAATACCTACTATGAGTGAAGTGGTGGAGATACAGTGGTAAACAAAAGAGATCTAGTCTCTGTTCTCACAGAGCCTGTAGATTGGCAGTTTCTTTAACAAAAGAAAGAATATGTTAAGGCAAGTATATTTGGAGGATTTAGTCCCAGCTGTATGCATTCATTCCACGAGTATGCAGACCTCTCCAGTTGATCCTGGTCGTCAAACACTTCATTTCATTGGTTGTTAAGAGGCATATTTTTGGCCAAGCATGGTGGTTCACGCCTGTAACCCAAACACTTTGGGAGACTGAGGCAGGCAGATCACCTGAGATCAGGAGTTCGAGACCAGCCTGACCAATGTGGAGAAACCCTGTCTCTACTAAAAATATAAAATTAGTTGGCTGTGGTGGCACATACCTGTCATCCCAGCTACTCAGGAGGCTGAGGCAGGAGAATCACTTGAACCCAGGAGACGGACATTGCGGTGAGCCAAGATCGTGCCATTGCACTCCAGCCTGGGCAACAAAAGCGAAACTCTGTCTCAAAAAAAAAAGAGTCATGTTTTTGTTAACATTTTAACATTTCTGAAATAAGGATTTGTTTTACAATCAATTGAATCTTAAAATTACAATAAGCAGTGTAAGCAGTGTTTGTTTCTCTTTCTTGGTGATATATACAATCATGGCACATCTTATAGTATATGGTATATCAATAAAATATGACAGCTATGTTGCTATCAATCCAAGATTCCACTGCTTTGACTCAAAGTTTAAGGAGAAGTTTCAGGAAGAAAAGGGGTGATAAGACATTCGGAAGCAGAAGGCCCTTTCCTGGAAGGTTGGTGTGAATCATGCTAGTAAAATTTACTCCAGAGTAAGAGCCCTAAGAGAAACTAGTGACTTAAAGGAATCCTACCTTAAATCTTTGTATAAATGGGAAAGTCTTTTTGCATGGTGAAAATTATCCCACCTGTGCACAATTACACACACACACCACTTTTCCAAACTTTTTAAATTTATTTTATTGTCCTAAAGAATATACTCTTGGGCTACAACCTAGTCCAAAGATTGCTTTCTTAACCCACATTTGCCCTAAACACAAATAAGCCAAGGTATGCCTTGACTGCCTTCCTAGACAACCTTGAGAAGTGCCCTGGCTAGCTCAGTTGCTGTGGAAGCCCCTGCACAATCCCAGGACCACCACCACCACCAGAGACAGGCAGCAGGATAATATGCTGGAAGCAGAAATAGAACCCGGGGAGCAGTAGAAGAATAACAACAGTTCCTGCCAAAAAAGCACAAGCTACCTGCCAGGCATTATACCGTAGAGACACTTGAGGTGCAGTATCCCATATCTCCCACAACAACCCTGCAAGGGAAGTATGGCTATCTCCACTTTATAGATGACAAAACTTCATGGTTAAGTAACTTGTTCAAGGTTGCATAGCTAGGGGAGCAGAAAAGTTGGACTTCAAGCCCAAATCTACCAGATTCCCACACCCATGCTCTTTCTGCTCTGCCACACTGCATGGCCGTAAGTCAGGAAGACTCTCTAGAGAGAGCACCCAGGGAGCTAATCCAGGGAGGGACTGGCTGGCAGGCTGGTCTTTTCCTATCATAAGCCCAAAGAAATAAGGCTACTCGGTACTGTGGAGAACAAATCTGCCTGGGAGCCCAGAGCCCTGGATCCTAGTCCTGCTGTATCATGAGACTTTGGATAGATTGCTGCCTTCTCTGGGACTCAGTTTTCTTATCTGTAAAATGAGAGGATTTGATGAGATGACCTCAAATAGCCTCTAGCATTCACCGCCTGAGAGTCCCTGCCCCTGCTCACTCAAGGAC